TTGATTTGTTTAAATCCTCGACTTCATTTTGCTCGCGTCGACTAACCGGCAAAATACCGGAAGTGGCTTATTTCACGGACGAGAATCCATAAAACACATTAGACTGTTTCCCCAAGGCTGCATGATATATTAAACCCATTTAAAAATCATAATTAAGCATAATTGTCAATTCACAAACGCTACGATTTAATTAAATAATTATATGTTCTAATACAGTATATGCGCTTTAATTATTTACATGCGTGTAGGTTAAGTACATGCGTCACACAGCGGCTCCGTTCACAGTAGTTCCACAGGAACTGATATCATTTACATGTGTGGAGCATCTCAAACTCCATCTCTGCATGTTGTTGTGAGTTTGGGTTTATATTAACGTTCATCTGGGAAAGCAACTTGCGCCATTTCATCAGATTTGTAAGGTAAATCATTTATAAATCTACGCAAACTCAGCAGAATACATCGCGGTTTCAAAATAAAAGCTCAAACCCTCACTCTGAGTTGACACGTTTTGATGTCCACATATTCTTTTAATTACAGTGGCTATAGCATTTCTGCTACTAGATCATCATCTACTAGTGATTGTGTTGTTCCTTTTCGTCATTCTGCCTTTGGGTTATCATCTTTCTCAGTGAAAGCTATTATTCACTGGAACACTCTACCAGAAGACATAAGGATGTGCACATCTATTGACATGTTTAAATTAAAACTAAAATTTTATTTAAAAGCAACTCAAATCTGTATAGTTGTGGCTTAACTGAACGTTATTTTTATTGTTTGTTTGTTTTTTGGCTCTGATGGGATGTGTATAAGTATTACTGTATTGTATGTGTTTGTTATTTTGTTCTTATGTCTATCTGTGATTATGATTACCTGCCAAGGGACCGCGGATGAAAACTAGCCATTGGCTAAATTCGGTACAATGCATGAAATGGAAACATTTATGTTAAAATTGTACATGGTCCCTTTTCAAATAAAGTTTAATAATAAATAATAATAAAAGACAGTTGGTGATATCTTGATAGGCCATTATGTAAAAGCAGAAGACGAGGTAGCTGCAAACAGGGTCAGGAGCTTCCTGGGGTTACTGAGCTCAGAATGGAACCACTATGTCTCACATCGTGCAAGGACAAACCTGGAAGAAAACAAGTGGTACAAAAAGGAAATGATCCCTCTCACTGAAGACGTAATTAAACTTCAAAAATATTTGAAGTCCATCGAAGAAAATGCCACAGAGAAACTGAGAGAAGGTCCTTATCCCAAAGCATACGCCATGCTAAGTGAAACCGTCCTCTCACAAATTATAATATAGTTTAATAAAATATTCTTAAGTGAAATTGTTGAATTTTTTTTGTGGGAAATTAATCGTTAAGATCAATCGATTAATAGATAAACTAGTCAATAGATTAATCGAAATAAAAATAGTCATTAGTGGCAGCCCTACACCAAATACACAAAATAATGTTCTTTTTAGCAACGTCATATGACCCCTTTAATTCCATTGTATTTTGAAAATGTCTTTGCTCCGTAAATGTTGTGCTGTGCACCATAGGCCATAGTTACAGGTTCAGCTACATTAATGCAATTAAGTTTTATTCACTTGTTATGGAGCACCTAAAGGGACATGGTAATGGGAGAAATTAGATGAGAGGAAAAATTACATTTCTAATTCTATGCTATTGTGTTCACTTGCAAAACATTCATGTTCCCCTAAGAAACGTTGCATTTTCTTGCAAAACCTTCATATTCCTGTGAGAAACACTGCATTTGCTCGCAAAACTGTAACATTTTCTCACAAAACGTTTGCGTTCCCCCAAAAACATTGCATTTGCTCGCAAACTTTTGCATTTACTTGCATAATTTTTACACTTTCTCGCAAAACTTTTGGATTCCCACGAGAAACATTGTCTTCGCTTGCAAAACTATTGCGTTTTTTTTTTTTTGGCAAATCTTTCACATTCCCCGAAAGAATATTGCATTCGCTCACAAAACTTTTTAAATTTCACAAAACGTTTGCATTTCCTTGCAAAACGTTGGCATTCCCTGGAGACACTTTTGCATGATGTGCTTGCAAAACTTCTCCTCTTTCTTGCAAAATGTTTGCATTTTCTTGCAAAACTTCAAAGTTTTTTCATATAACTTTTGCATTTTCCCTAGAAACTATATTTTGCGAGTGAATGCAAAATGGGTGATGAAAATAAAGTGGGAGGCAAAGCTATATATTCAATGATTTTGGGTGAAGACAAAGTTTCTTGGGGGAACACAATACTTTTGCAAGGGAACACAAAGGTTTTTCAGGCAAAAAATGAAATATATCTTTTTTATCATCATGTACCCATAGAGGCTCAGTAACTTTTACCTGAAGTGAGGAAAAACAATACGAGCAATTATAACGCAAGTGATGTCGTAATGGGTAATGAGTCAATAATGTTCTGAGTAATGCAGAGTCCATATTTTAAATGAAATGATTAGATTTGATGATCTCCATGCTATTTTTTCAAATGGTATAATTACATTTGGGAGTTGATCATAAAATAGCTTGTCAGTTAAAATAATTGATATATTTCCTGAATTTTCAGACCAGATCTGAATAATTTTCCAGGACCACGACAGATTGTTAATACAAGAACATGTCCTACTCTGGGCAAGTTTGGTGCACTGTGAAAGTTGAACAAGTTTTTGTAGGGTAAAATTTTGAGTTTTATTGGTTATACTGTGGGATGTTGGGATTACGTTGTGATATTGGTGATCAGTATCAAAAAACAGCACAACCACAAGCAGTTTCTTGACTGTATATCGCATACACTCCTGACACAACTGAGCAAACTCCAAAGCATCCAGTGGCTCAAGATGTGAAGCTAGCTACCTAAACCCTAGCTCGGCTCTGCACAATGTCAAAACATCCACATCCATGAAAGCTTGAAAACGTCTTATGAAGGGTTGGAGGGGGTTGATTGCTTTGTAAAGTGTTTCAAAGTTTTCTTTGCTCACCAGAAACTCAAACGCTGAAATTGATTGGAGACAGTTTCCAAGATTAAATATGTATGAGATACTTCAGCATACTGCTGGCTTTTTCATTTCATTTTAGAAATGTTACTAAGTGCAGATTAGGTGGTATTCAGCACCAACAGGGTGGGCATCAGACCCCTGTGAAACCTCTCTTCCATCTTGGCTTTTGGAGACAATTGGGTAAATGAAAAAAATAAAAATAAACCACATGTGCCAAGTTCTTAGAAATGCACTTAGAAATGGTGTTTCGAAATGGTGTGTGAAATGTTTTTGAAAAACCTTTTCAATTTAACAATTTTGAAAATGTCATGTGGCGTAATAACACAAGTTAACATACTTTCATTACACATTAATCATCTTAATCATTTTTTTTTTGTTATTAAAATATATTTTTAAAGATAAAAAAAACATATTATGAATTATTAATTCATAAATATCAAGTTTTTTGGGGGGAGTCTCACCACATGACATTTTACATTTACAGCATAAATAACCTTGCCTTGACATAAAAAGGTCAAATTATATCTTAAGGGATGTTAGATGGTCTGCAGGGGTCACTGCGATATAATTTCCTGTTTTATGCTTTTTTTCCCACATTTCTGCATGTTGGTTGCAATACATGCCTTTTGGTTTTTCCAAATATTAATAAGCAGTGAAGCAGTTTTAGTAAAATAATATGTAAAAAAAAAAAATTATAAAAAAAATTATTAAAAAAATTATTCCTGAGGAATAATAAAACATTATGCCCAACTACCCTATAAGGTTTCTTTTCAAGAAATTAAGAAAATTATTCTTTTAATATGCCTTTTTTCATCATTATGACATCAGGACAGTCGTATCACCCTGACAAAAATGAATTTTAATACAGAAATTAAAAACGGACTCATTATAAAAGGGGTGAATTTAATTCATTACATTTTTATTTAGTTTTTGAATAAATTAAAAAGGAAAAAAAAGTGACACAAGAAACAAATCGCATCATTAACCCAATTTCTAAGTTGTCCAATAAGCCGTCTTTTTAGAGAATAAATTGGTTGAAAGAAATCAACAAAATAACTGATTCTGATCATGTTTTTATGAAACTCCTATTTAAAAATTGTGGGGTTTTAAAGCAAAAACTTATAGCAACAATAACATATCTCAAACAAAAGAGAGTTTCACTAGTGACTGTCAGGTCTTTAGTGAAGGCCTCTGACTGCAGCATGTGACGCCTGCAGGAACATACAGTATCTGGATGGAGACTGTACGCATTACTCACCAGTGGCCGTTCTCCGACTCTTCTAGGAACTGTACTAAATCTCCTTCCTCAATGGAAATTTCCTGAGCAGTACCTGACTCATACATCAGCTGCACCTGATAGCGATCATTATCCCCCTTAAGGGAAAGAAAGAAGAGCATGATTTATTTCAGGGTCATGGCACCAATTTTTGGCTTTACTTGTAACTGGACAGATATGGGTAGGGTAGATTCAATCAGGGATGTGTATGTGTTTAGTCAATGGAAATCTTATCAGTTGTTTATTCAAGGATGCCCTCTGGTGGTAGGAACCATATATGTGACATTTCAGTCCCTCTGGCTGCTGTTAATAAAGGTTCTGACTGACTCTGTTATTAAGCCTCTTTACTGAAGCAGATCTCCTCTCCTCATGCATCAAGCAGAAGGATTAAACAAAGAAACTCCTCTGGGTGTTTAAGAGTCTAAGATAATCTGACCTCCTTTCTGTGTTAATTGTGAAACATTGCTAGACCCTATCTTTTATCTGAGCTCCCTTATAATTGGTCAAATCTCTCAGTTTTGATACTTTTTGTTTGTTAGTTTCTTACCTGAAAGGGACATTTTAACCAAAAGTGAAAATTGTGCCATTATGTATTAAATCTTTTTTGACATTTTTCAAAATATCTTTTTTTTTTTTTTTAACAAATTGTTTAAATTGTATGATATCAAACTATTGGTATTCTTGCAACAACAAAAAAAAACTTATTAAAGAAAACTTAATAGCCTAGGAAAATATTTAATTTGTGTGTGAAAAATAAGAAATAATCTTTTTAAAATCAAATTTATTCTTTTAAAATGAAAACGTAAAAGTATAAATATTTTGAAAAGAAGATATTTTAAAAGTTATTTAGGTCAAAAAGACATCGAATCCTGAGACATTTTTCAAAATATTTTCATTTTTTAACAAACTGTTTAAACTGCATAATGTCAAACTATTAGTTTTCTTGAAAAATTATTAGGAAAAAAAACTTAGTTGCCTATGAAAATATTGCATGTGTGTGAAAAATAATAAGTAATTCAAAAAATATTTTAAAATACATATTAAATAATTGTACTTTTAAAATTAAAATGTAAATGTATAAATATAAAAAAAAAAATGAATTGAGGTCCAAATGATGGTGGAGCTTGAGACATTTTTCAAAATATCTTTACAAACTGTTCAAAATGTATAATTTCCAACTATCAGTGAAGAAAACATAATATTCTATCAAAGTATTTAATGCGTGAATTATAATAATAATTAAAAGTAATTTACAAATACATATGAATAACTGTAAAGGTTTAAATAATTAAATAATCATTATTATGGTTATTATTTAGCATTCCACAGAAGAAAGAAAGTCATAGTTTGGGATGACATGAGAGTGTTAACAAGGACAGGCTTCTCATTTTAGGGTGAACTATCCCTTTAAGGATTATTTGACTGTTTTTTTCCCCTCCATACAAATTTGAAAGGTTTCAAGGGAATGAATGAAATATGTGGACAGAAGGTGGATAAAGACATGGTAGACCCAGACACATACGTTTTTGTTATGTCCTTCATCCTCTCCATCTGAGGAAATGGAGAGTTCTTCAGCACTTGATGGAATGGTCTCAAAATCCTCAGCGTCCATTGATGGCAGACGCCGTTGACTCCATCCTGGAAAATAGTACACATGAGTTAACATCATTCAGTAAAAACCTTATGAGAGACGATGCTCAGGGAATAGTCTGGTAGTCGTGTTTGCCAGAAAAATCTTCTGTGAAAGAGAGACAAGATGTTGAAGCACTCAATGAAAATAACTCTGGCGGATTCTGTCACCGTCAGGCATCGAATGAGGAATGAAAATAGACGAAAACACCCGCGAGAACCCAATATGATTGGCATATCACTGCCTCTTTTCACATGATTACCTGGTTGAGACGCAGACCTCGGCACAGCGGGCTTGGTACCGGCAGTACCTTTACTTTTGCTCTCAGCGGGAAGTGCACCTCGCATGGTGTCTGTGAGGAAATTCACTGTCTTATCAAACATGACCTCTTTAATGGCAGCATTGCAGGTTAAACAGAACCTCACATTAGCATGCATGAATCAGTAACAGTCAACCGCCGAAAAAATAACCACAGGATGTCTCTCGCACCAATAGAAAACTACACACAACCTTATCTGAACAAGACAGAGCATGACAAAAAAAAAGGCACAGCTCAAATTCATAAGGCAGAGGGGACGGAAACACGATTTGGAGGATGATACACGCTTAAGATGAGCTAAAAACCACCACCACCGCAGTGCAAAAACACATGTCGAAATCGGAACAGAGAAACAAAACAAGCATCAAATGAAATCTGGTAGCCTGATGGTTAAAGGCGTGGTTCAGTGTTTTTTTTCTAGGCTTGATTGTGTTTATGGGGTGCAGTCTAACGTGTTAATGCTTCGTTTTTTAAAAAACGCATTATTTTTCACATAATTTACCTTTATTCCACAACGCTC